TTTTTTTTTTTTTTTTTTTTTTTTTTTTTTGATAATAGCCATCCTGACAGGTCTGAAGTGAAATCTCATCATAGATTTAATTTACATAGTTTTAATTTGATTAGTGACATTGAGTAATTAATTTTTTCCTATTCCTACTGACTATATGTATGTTTCCTTTAGAGAAATGTCTATTCAAGTTCTTAGCTCATTTTATAAATCAGGTTGTTAGGTTTTTTGCTATTGAGCTGTAGGAGTTCCTTGTATATTTTGGATATTACTCCTTTTTAGATATATGGTTTGCAAATATTTTCTCCCATTTTATAGGTTGCCTTTTCACTCTGTTGATCATTTTCTTTGCTGTGCAGAAATTTTTTAATTTAATGTGGAACCATGGGTCTATTTTTTACTTTTGTTGCCTGTGTTTCTGGTTTCATATCCATGAAATCATTGCTAGAACTCAAACCCAAGTTCAGCCAAACTCCAACCATCAGGGCCTTAATTGCTATGCAGTGTTGTCACCGATTTAAGGAGCAAAATGAAAAAGAAAACAAAAGTGCCACACCTTTCACCAGGCATGAAGAGAACTCACAGAGGAAGAGATGGAGTGGCTCCATCCGATGGCAGGATATTTCCTTAGATTCAAACACTATGTTGTGGCTTGGTTAGAAGCCCAAGCTTTAGACCCAGGTAGACTGCCATCAAATATTTGAGACTCAGTTTCTTGACCTGTGAAATAGGGATAAAAAGCAGTGTAATATTCTTGTTATTAGAATCAAATTAAATAATGTATATATAGTGCCTATTAAATAAATTGTAACAATTTTTTATCATGTATCTTCTGTTGGTCTAACAGCAAAAAGAAAAAAAAGAATGTCCTTTAGGGTGGAACAGAGAATTATTAAGACTAGAATTAACACTGCATTACCTCAAAGACATTTATCCAAGTATTTTTATTCATATATTGAAAATAATCTGTTTATTTATCTTCTAATAAGCACTTTTATCTTGTGGTTTTAAACAATATATGCACAGACAGTAAATAGCCGAGTGGTCTCTTCAAACTTGCATAAATTCCAATCCAGATTTTCACTCTCCAAACTAATTGAAAACAAATTCTGAAAAATCATGAAGGCAAATGGAACCAAAAAATCTGTAAGTATTCAAATAGGCTCTCAGGACCCCTCAGTAACATTAAAAAGTACCCTGAGAATGAATCAAAACAATATGATTGCTTGAAATTGTTGTGCATGTAAATATGGAATCAGTCCCAAAGGACTGGATGGGTAATAAGTATTTCTCTTTTATATGTCTGCTGGCTCTGACCCTGGAAACACTCAGCTGGGAACTGGTGTGTCTGCTCTGATGTCTGAGTGGACTACAGCTGGGCAACATCACCATGCCTGTGCATGAGAAAGAATGATTCTCCCTCCTCCCTCTCAATCTATCTGACATCTGCTAATGAAGTCCAGAGGACAGACTTTGCAAAGCCCATCCCTCCTGTAGAGGGGGGACATTTGGTGAAATGATGAATGGCCTATACCCAAGCTAAATAGACAAAAAGAGATTAAATGTAAGCAGTTGAACAAAATGAAGCATACAAATTATAGCAGACATCAGTACCTTCTTTCCCAATTACTCTGATAGGAACACCACCCCACCCATTAGGTGTTTGCAAAGCAAACTTTCACTTTGTGTTAATTAACAAAATATATATCTACAAGAATTACATGGTTGTCCCACGTATAGCTTTCTGTTAAGTAGTGAATTGTCTTTTGTTAACTACAGTGAAATTAATGTCCTTTTTAACATTTGCTAAATCTGTACGGTTTGTTGTTGTTGTTTAAATACAATGGAACAATTCAGTAAGGTATTATAAGATTTCATCTAGTGAGGATAAAAGTTAATGCTGTCTAGAAAGCAAGGCTTAAAATTTCTTGAAGCTGTGTTTACCATCCTGCCTAAATTATGCAGGCAGAGCTTATAAACTATTAGGGCCTTTAGATCTTTAGATTGGAAACATTTTCAGATTTAGAAAAGCTTCATTGTTTGATTTGAACTTTTCTGTTTCAAATAATTAGGGTGGAATGGGAACATAATCCTCTAACATGTTTTTTCCTCAGAGAAGTCTGAGGAATGTCGCATAAAGATGCAATCTGGGAAAAAAAGAAAGAAAGGTGAAAAAAAATTCTGTTCCTTTTCACTTAATACCTAATAACAAAATTGCAAAATATAGAACATGATGGTTAGTGTTATCTTTTACTGGAATATGTCAATTTCCCCAGAGACACTATGCAAGTAAGTATTTGAAACACAGCTGTGGAATATTTGAAGATACTCCTCTTTGAGGCTTTTCTACACCTGTTCCATGGCAGCTATCCACCCACCTTTGCCTCCATCCAGGTAAAGAAATAAATAAAACAAACAAAAGGACTATTCTTCTTTGACATATATTTTGTATTTTGTTACCTGTTTTACATCTTTGCAATTCTGGATAAAATAAGCTTTGAGAGAAAACGTCCACTTTCAATTTCATATTTGATTTCGTGAGCTAACCTTAGCTAGCTGCCCCTTTGAAATCACAATGGAGTCTTAAAATCATTTAAAGTGTTATTAATTTAGCAGTTGCACAGTGATGGATTTTTCAGATTGCTCATACATAGATCTCTTGACTGAAAATGTGCATAGCCTTGTTTCCTTAACTATCACTGCCATAATTTCCATGAAGGATGATATTCCACAGCAAAATTACTGATAACCAAATGAACTGCCATTAGATAACTCCATTATTTAGGCTAATGTAGACTTTAGCTGGTCATATTACTTTGTGAAAAGCTGATGTAAATATTTCCAAATAAAACTATTTTTAGAATACAGGCTTTAGTTTCTGTCTTTTAACTACTAACAACCAAGCATAAATTCATTACAGACTTGTAAACTCAGATGTGATTAATATTTCTCTACTACATGAAAATGAGTTTGAAAATATAGGTAGAGCCCTAATTATGCTTAATTCAGTTCATAAATGTCCAAAATAAAACAACCTCAGATTGTTACATATATCTCTACCCTTGATTTCAACATGGCAGTTCACAGTCTTAAAAAATAAAATAAATAAATAAATATTTTTTTTTTAAAAGGAGCAAAAAGCCATTTCATTTTCACTGCATGCTGAATGCATTTCAGGTCATTATTTTTATGAATAGAAAATGTGAAGGTCATTTAACCTCATCCTTACAATTAACAATTACTATCAGTTCAGAGCTGTGGGAATATCTGTGAATCTAAGTTTTGCTCAGGGAAGTTCCAGCTAGGAAAGAGACAGGAGATAAAACAAAAGGGCCTTCCTCATTTAAATTCCTGAGTAAATACTACCACATTACCAGCTCTGAATAATTAACTTCCATCCACTGTGCCAAAAATGACGCACTGTATCTGGAATCCATCTTTTCAATAAATACCCCAGAAAGAAACCACCATAGAAATCATGACTGCTATTACTTCACTAAACTTTTTACTTACTCAAATCATTTTCTGAAAACCATCATTAGAATCAAATTAAAATAAAGCTGAGGTTTTCTGAATAAAACTGTCAAAAAAGATAAAAGTTTTGCATTGACAGTAAAGCAAATGATTTTTTCCACTCTGTTGAGGTTGCATAAGAGCGCAGTATATCTGAATGACTTATGGTCCATTAATGACAGATTAACAGCTGGAGGAGGGGAGATCTTTCCAAGAATAGTTTTCAAATGAATGAAACTTCAGGCCTAGAGGCAATGGGAAATGCAAAGTGTGGGGAACTGGGGGAGGATGTGGGTGGAGGAATCTTATAAGATCAGACTTTCATAATTCATTAAAATCACTGAAAATGACAGAGTGTGATCTGAAATGAATTTTCCATATTCACTGGGGAAGAGGTCATAGTTACTAAGTCCTTGAAGGTGACTACAGGAGGTAGAGACCCAACGTGAGTATATTTGTGCAGCATACCTGAACAAAATAAGACTTGCTAAGACAGAACATAGTGAAGGATTCTACCTACGTGGTTTTGTTCACCGGGATTCTTTTGTCATAATGAAACACCAAACACTGCACGCAGCCAGACTTCGGTGGAGTGTGGGGTGGGGGTGCAGATACTAAAAAGGTATTTGATGTATACAAATTTACAAAGACCAGTCCCATATTCTGGAATGATAATTATACCATATATATACTTAAATACAATTATAAAAAATAAATTGAAAAAATAGAACAGCTAGCTTTCATTTTTTAGGTTGACTTTCTGGGTAGCCTAAATTTAATTTTTTTATCATAAAAGCAATTCATGCTTTTATAGATATTATAGAAATCTGGTAAAATAAATGAATAAAGTAGAAGTCACTTCCCAGTAATATCCATATTTAAATTTTAGTGTATTTCCTTCCATCATGTAATGTATTTATTCATAACAATTTTTTCAATAAGAGTGAAATGATATTGAATGTACATCACATTATGTTGGGAACATAGGAGCCATTTAGCCTTGCTTTTGAAGTCAGTGATCTATCTTGATGTAAATCCAGCAGCCTTGGCAATCTATTATGGCTACTAGACCAAGGCATATTTATTTTTCTATCTGGCCAGTGCTGGATTTGTGTGCTCAGTATTCATTAAAGATACTATCAGTAACAGTGATCGTAGCATATATATAGCATCCTTACATATATAACTCTACCTAAATTCCTAATGCAAATACAGAAATTGTAGATGACTTCACTACCTAAAGGTTCAACAAGTACATCTTCATCTAGCTTCTGATGTCTTTTTTTCAGATTCCATCAATGAACAATAAACTTTACTCTTCAATAATAAAGAATTTTGACATAGGTCAAACACAAGAGTGGAACATGACCCAACACACACAGAAACTAATAATCTTGTTAAAAAAGAAATAACCCACTGCGTAATGAAAAAAATAGATTAATTATGATGATAGAAATACTACAAAACTGATTAGAATAGTGTCTATCTGCATTAAGTATTTTTCTTTAAAGGTGATTAATTTTATTTTACTGAATCCTTCCACATTCATATTTTCTTTAATTCAGAATAAATGATAATAGTCAAAGATCATATATCTCTTAGAGGGAGAAAAGTTGGAGATAATTTCTTATGAAATTTTCGGCTTTACGAAGTTGCTTAAGGATGAGTACTCAGGCATAAAATTTGTCTTATTTAAATCAAATCTTCAAGGAAATTGAAGAAGATATAAAGAAATAGAAAAACATTCCGTGCTCATAGATTGGTAGAATAAATATTGTTAAAATGTCAATACTACCCAAAGCTATCTACACATTCAATGCAATCCCAATCAAAATTGCACCAGCATTCTTCTTAAAGCTAGAACAAGCAATCCTAAAATTTGTATGGAACCACAAAAGGCCCCGAATAGCCAAAGTAATTTTGAAGAAGACCAAAGCAGGAGGCATCACAATCCCAGACTTTAGCCTCTACTACAAAGCTGTAATCATGAAGACAGCATGGCATTGGCACAACAACAGACACATAGGCCAATGGAATAGAGATTCCAGAATTGGACCCACAAGAGTATGGCCAACAAATCTTTGACAAAGCAGGAAACAGCATCCAAAGGAAAAAAGACAGTCTCTTTAACAAATGGTGCTGGGAGAACTGGACAGCAACATGCAGAAGAATGAAACTAGACCACTTTCTTATACCACTCACAAAAA